ATTTTAATTGGTCAATCAACAAATGGCATGGGTTAAAATTTTGTGTTCCCTCCTGTTAATTTTGTGTTCCCAGAACGTTCTCTCCTGTTCCTGTGACTGCTATAAATCAATCATGTGCATAGATCGCCTAAAAACGTGTATTACATTGAATGTTATTTCTCTTTTAAACGCGACATTAACAAAACAACAATGAGTGAATTAAAGTTGAAGTTTTATTCTTATTTACAAAGCACTGAACCGTTGTTGACTTTTTTTCAGCTTTAGTCCCATATTTTGATAAGTACAGTACCGAATGGTCATATCCCAATTTTCTATATGAGATGCGAGATGTTATCTTGAAGATTGAGCCATTTAGTGAAGATTGGGGTGGGCTTGATGGAACGTGGTATAAACGATATACGAAACTAGCAATGAGTGATGAGGTATATTTCTTTTTTACAGAATGCTTCTGGTTGTTATTATATGCCATATAAAAACAGTTCAGAGGTTGCTAGAAAACCTTGACTGTTATTATATGTCATGTAGAACGGCTCAGAGGATTTTTGGGCACTTCTGGTTGTTATTATGTTATATAGAACGATTCAGAGGTTTTGCTGAAAATTTTCGGTGCCTAAATTATGATGCGTGGGGGCGCTTCTGGTTGTTATTATGTTATATAAAACGATTCAGAGGTTTTGCTGAAATTTTTCGGTGCTCACTCCATCAACTTTGCATTGTGAATTTATTGATATTGTTTACGTATTATTTCTTTTAGATATATCCGCATCCATCTATGAAACCATTTTTTGAAGATCTCATATTTCAGCGTAAAAAGGTTAGTATTAGGTTTTGGCCTTTCATAGAGCATTCTACTATTATTGTCATTGATATTTATTCATATTGTTGTATATAGCAAACTGCGCAATGTAATTACATAAAGACCAGTATTGATGTGTTAGATAAAGCACGAACATATGGTGCCCAAGAAATAATTTTGGAGATGTCAGAAGCTCTTGGAACAAAACGTTCTCCAAACAATAAAGTGGCTGCAGAACCTTCGAAGAAGGTAGTGATTATATATATTTGAAATAATGTTGCACAATGAAAGGGTGAAATTACAAGTAAACAAATAACTTACTGGCATATTCTGTTTTATCCTATAATCTAGACCAAGTTACAGTTCACTCTCTCTATAACGAACCCTCTGTCCCTATATGTAATTTCTCTGCTTTTGGTCGTTATAGAGAGAGTTTATTAAGATGGTCGTTATAGAGAGAGAAATTAATTATAAAAAATTGAAACGGGGACAAAAGGGAAGTTCGTTATAGAGAAATTTTACTTAGTGGTCGTTATAGAGAGGGTCGTTATAGAGAGAGTAGACTGTATATGGAGAATATTATGATTTGCCAGTGACTTCTGTAGAATCTGAAACGAATACTACTGAATGGGATTTATCTTCAGCATCAGCGCAAATAGCAAAAGCTTCGAAACTAAGAAAATACATCAATAGTGACATAGCAGACAAAGTCTTAAAAACTTACAAGACAAGTGTTCTGCCAGGTGAAAAACTTACATATGAGGGAGTAAATGTATTAAATTCTGCATATTCAGTCATGAAGGGTATGAAGAAAACCGAAATGGCAAAGAGCCCACTTTGTATCCATGTCATTAATTTCCATAATCTTGATTGTACAAGATATTTACCTCATAACTACAACAATTACATCGCAAACCAACTTCAAGATTGTGATAATGAAGCTGTCAATTTTGATAGTGAGAAAAAAATTGATAAATTTATTGTGGATTGCTCTAAATTATTTGGATAAGTTTTACGAAGTGAATGATTTAGAGTCTTTAGGAAAGTGCTTGGATGAACATCAAGTAAAAATTTCCACTGCATCAAAAGATCTTATCTATGTGCAGAATCTATTCCACCACTTTTTCTTTTTATATAAGAATGACTTCTTAATTCAGACTATGTCAGAATATGAATTTAATTCCTATATTTGGACACCATTATTGAGGAATGCGTTTCTTGATAAGAAAGACCTTAAACTAAACTATGGGGAACTGGCATCAAGATCGTACAAAAAACTAAAAGAACTTTTGGATATCGGTGGCCGTAGTGCACCAAAACTGGATGGAAAAGGCTTTCTCAAGTCTTTGGGAACTGAAATTCTAGCACAAGAGGATGGCGTTCTAAACACTTGAGGTAAAAGAAAAGGTGATCTACAAAAACTAGAATACTGTTCGAAAGTCATCCTCACAACGCTCTTTTTTGCATTACCCTCTGCTGCAAAAGCAAGTATCAAAAATATTGAGACTTATAGTCTCCAATCAAATGGGTTCCGTCTTACAATCTCTGTATAAAAGTATCTCTTTGAAGATACTATTATTACAATGGATTTACAAGATGTTGAAGTCCCAAGGACTGTAGAAGGATTTTCAAATCTAATAGTGGCTGTAAAGGTGATTTTATCTTGGAAGGTGCGTACTAGAAATAATACAATAACATTCTATAATGCATTAAAGAATGGCAATAAATGTTTATCAAATGGGGCTCATTTTTCACCAAAAAGAGTACCTCTACATCCTCTACATAATATGCGATACTAAATCACATTCATTTTTTTCAATACTTATTAAAATCATATCTTAATAATAAAGTTCATGTCTTATATAATTAAGACTTTGTAGTGTGTATATATTTACTGATATATCATATTCAACTTATAGACAATTCTCTTTTCTTAACTTATAATCATACTGTGGAAAAATAAGTATCTTGAAAGAATATATTGATGATTTTTTCACCATCTCGCAGAAGTTATCGGCATGAAAAATCAGAGTTAACTTTTTTTCTAGATATGCCTTCTCAGAGTAAGATAATATTATATTATTTACTGCTCTCTGGACATAAGCAAAGTGAGTGGACAGATAAGCTAACTCATGATGAAACCGATTATGTAATTGCCAAAGTTTTAAAGCAGAGATAATGTACTGCACTGTGTTCTTCTGCGTCATTGTGTCGAGTTGTCAGCTATTACTATCAGGATTTAATAAGCCAATTAAAGTTTTGCAGCATCAGAGCTGACCAAATTTTTAGGCTGCACCTGTTCTCCACAAATACATATAAATATCTAATCCTACACGATTTCTTTTTCTTACCATTGCAGCCTGCCAGCCCCATAGAAAATAAATGTACGGAAAATGTAAGAATTTACTTATTATTATTATAATATTTGACACGGGATATAAGTATTTATATTTAATTTAAGTTTTGAAATTGTCATTGTAACAAATTTTATGTGAATGTACGGAAAATGTACTGTATTTGGTAAAAAACTATAAAACATACGTTTTAACAGTGTTGGCAATTGGACTTATTGGACCAGTCCAATAAGTCCAGTCCAGTAAATCAATTCCAATTCTAAGGGACAGCCAATCATATTTCAGCATTTAATATTTTATAATTCTTGATAAAAAGAAGGATCATCTAAATTATGTTCAAAGATTTCTTCTATTCCCATTTTCCTTTCTGTCTATTAATAGCTGGGTGTCTAGTCTATAACAATTCAACGTGATATAATTATTTTGCGAAACATGTAACATTTAATTTAATAACGTAGCACATGATTATTTTATTTGTAACATTCATTTATTTCGCGTTGTTTTATTTATCTTATTAATATATCTATGTCCTATATCATCCGGATAGATTGATAAGTTTACTAAGTTTATATTATATTTATATTATCAATCTTATGTATTTCTTATAAAAAGGACATCAATTTAAGTTAATAAAGCTAACTTGTAATTTTACAACAATTAAATTACTGAATTCGTTTAAATAAATTGTTTTAACATTTGAACATTTACATAGTCCTTTTGATTCTTTCAATTGACCCTATTGGACCTACTAATTCCTCCTCTAATATTTCATCATTCTGCATTTCCATCCATTGACCCATCACTGCATTCTAGAGTTGCCTTCCGAAACTCATGAGTTTAGAACTATTTGAAACTAAACCCATTCTAAACTGGTTTAGAAAATGAGCCCGAATTCCTAAACTGTTTGAAACTCCTAAACTAATCCGAAACTCCTAAACTGTTTTCGAAACTCCTAAACTGATTTTATGACATATGGCATGTAACCATGATTATCGAAATCATTCATTTTCTCTTATTTTCTCTTCGTGACCAAAGTTTTTATCAAAGTTCATTTTATTTTGATATTATTGTCCTGACAATTAATTAAGGCATCTATATACAATTTTACACCAAACCTAAAAATTAGTGTATGGTGCTAAATCTCATAAGTTTATTTGATTTCCTAAAATCTTATCCCACAGAGCAAGAATGTATTAACTACTTTGAGAAAAAGAGGTGAAAGGGCAAAGTTGTATCTCCTTTTGACCCTAATTCCAAGGTCTATAAATGTAAAGATAATAAGTATAAGTGTAAGAACACGGGCAAATATTTCACTGTCAAAACTGGCTCAATATTTAGAAACTCCAATATATCCCTACAAAAATGATTTTCGGCCCTAAAATTTCTCTCTACCTATAAAAAAGGTGTTTCATCTTGTCAATTAGCAAGAGACCTTAAAATTACACAAAAAAGTGCTTGATTTGTATTACATTGCTTACACAAAATCTCTGACCTCCCTGAATTTAAAGTCATGTTAGAAAACAGTGTAGAAATAGACAAGACTTTTATAGGTGGTAAGAATAAGAATAGGCATAGGGATAAAAAGGTTCCTAATTCCCAAGGTAGAAGTTTAAAAGATAAGATGCCAATTTGAGGAGGAATTGAAAGAGAAACTGGTAGAAGGTAGCAAAGGCTTCAGAAAGGTTAAAAAAAAAGATTTTGATAGGATGGTAGAGGCTTTATCTAAAATTCCTCCTGAAAACTTGAAAAAAAAGGATAAAGATAGTTAGTGTAAAATTCTATTACTATATAATTACCTATATTTATATATATAGATATAACAGGAGAGACCGTCCTATATAAGGAATGGATTTTCACAATTGATTTCAATTTTTTTTATACAGTTTAAAATA